CCACCCCCATCCTGCACCCTACCTCCCAGCTAAACCCTGCAGCCCCACCCCCTCTTGAACCCATTTTGTTATCAAGGCTGATTGGCTAGTGGTCTGCTAAAGATCTGTGTTGAGCTGGTTGGGCCATGGGCTAACGAGTTTGAGAACCACTGATTTAGAGGGATCCTAGCCATCCTCTTGGACCTTTAACCACAGGGCAAACACCCCCATCCTGCACCCTACCTCCCAGCTAAACCCTGCAGCCCCACCCCCTCTTGAACCCATTTTGTTATCAAGGCTGATTGGCTAGTGGTCTGCTAAAGATCTGTGTTGAGCTGGTTGGGCCATGGGCTAACGAGTTTGAGAACCACTGATTTAGAGGGATCCTAGCCATCCTCTTGGACCTTTAACCACAGGGCAAACAGGGCAGCTCAGGTCACCAGGTGCTGGATAGCTAACACCCCCCTGTTCCCCCAGGACTGCACATTGCTTAAAAGCAGAGAGCTACGCTGACTGCAGGGATGAGAGAAAGAACAACAACAATAGGCAGTTCATAGCTAAGTCAGCTCAGTACGCTGTAAGCAGCCTGGCAGGACAGGGCGCCTTTCAGAGGGACTTAAGTCTGCTCTCTACCCCCAGACAAAAGCTCCATTAAAGGGAGTTACAATGGAGAGACTAGAGCAGTGATGTGGGTAATGTACATAAAAAGAGACCTTGTTATTTCCCCCTCCCCTCAAAACAAGCATTACAAACCCAGGAATTCAGCATTTAGGTTTCAATCCAAATACGTTTGGCTCTGGCAGTGCAATGTTGAGGCACACAAAAAACCTAAACGCCACCTTCGAGTGATACCAGGCAGTCACTGCGCAGTCACACACACTAGTATATATGTTCGCAGATTAGAACCAATGATTTTTAAAGACACCTTATGAGTTTCTCCCTTGGGTGTCACCACAGCACCTCCAGAAATCTCTCTACGATCAATGGCGCAGCCTGTGCTCTCGGTTATAAAACCAGCTGTTGAGTTGCTTATAACTTTGCCCAGCATGTTTCTCAGGACAGGACCACTGAAAGCCTCCACAGGCAAGGTAGGGAGGGGGCGGGGCCTCAGGCAGAAGAGGGCGGGGCCTCAGGCAGCTCTGAATGCCACCCGGAGCATACCATGCCGGCTCCCAGGAAGCCTTTAGCATCACTCAGAACATTCCCCCCCTCCTCCCCAAAATGCTTAATGTTGTCCAGTGTGCACAGTGCTCCAGTGGTGATTTAAAGGGTCCAAGGTCCCCAGGTTTGTTGAATCCCTGGGCCCCAGGGCAGCTGCCCCCTTTGCCCCACCCCTGTCGGTGGGCCTGCCTCAGAATGAGATTAGGGGAAATGTTGTAAAGGGCTCCGCCCTTCTTGTGAGCACTCCTTGGTGGAGGAGGGGAGTCTTGTAGGCTCTCTACCCAGGTGTCTTCAGGAGAGGAAGTGTCTGTATGTAGCCTGGGACCAGGCTTCTTCTTACCCCCTGTTGTGGCTGCTGGGGGTGCCCAGGCCCAAGGAGCCTATAAGTAGCAGTTAGCTGCTGAGTCTCTCAGAGATTGGTTGCAGTCACATTCCCTGGCCCACTCCCCCAGGAAGCTGCTCTGTCCAGCCATTGCGGTCAAGTCCTCCCTGTCCAGGGTTCTGCAAGGGTTGCTGTTGGCTTACCAGCTAGTCTTCAGCCACTGGGCCTGGTTCTGACATCCAGATCCTACTCAGAGCTGTCTGTAGTGCTACTGTTCCCCCCAGTCAGCCCTTAGCTCTACCTGGGTCAAGCTCCAGGCAAGAACTGTGAGACCCTAGCCCAGGAACTTCTTTTATACCGGTCTGCTGGATCCTGATTGGCTGTCTCTGCAGCAGCCACTCTATCCTGCCTGGAGGACCTCTTTTCTGCTCCTCTTGCTGGGATGGGGCCTCTGGCCTCCTGTAGGGGCATTGGGGCTTAGTCCACCCCATCACAATTGTATTTGACCAGATTAAAACAGCTCCACAGCTGATTCATTGGGAAGCTCCAGCACCCTCCATGCTTTGGAGCAGGAACTTGACATTGGACATGGCAGGGATGCGCCTTTTGCTGCCCTCACTCGGCCAAGTTATACCCCTCTGAAGAATCGGTTTGCTTGAACTTGGTAGAGACTGGTTAGAGTTCAGCAGCTAAATTCCCCAAAGATTTCACCTGCACTGCACATGCTCTATCCCCTCCCATCTCCTAGGTTCTCATGAGACTGTGCACAATGCAACTGAGCATTCTCCAGCCTGGGGAGGGAGAAGCTGAACAGAATTTCCCCTAGATTCTTCTAGTTGCCAGACATCAGGGCAACCATTCCTTCTATGCTCTCAGTGCTCCCCCACTGGGTACCAGAGAGCCTATGGCAGACGGAGGAAGACCCCTGACTGGAAGGGTGAGGAACTGATGGGGAAGAGATACGGGATGGGGGACAGCAATGGAGGGGAAAGAGAGGGGGAGAAGAGCATGAGCGCATGCACACACACCCCTCTTGGCTGTGAGTGTGGAATGGTTGCACCAAAAATAGATTAGAATTGGAAGAAACCTCAGGAGGTCATCTCATCCAGCCCCCTACCCCAACTAAATCATCCCAGCCAGGGCTTTGTCAAGCCCAGCCGTAAAAACCTCTAAGGATGGAGATTCCACCACCTCCCTAGGCAACCCGTTCCAGTGCTTTATCACCCTCCTCGTGACACATTTTTTCCTAAACCTCCCCCACTGTAACTTGAGACCATCCCTCCTTGTTCAGTCACCTGTCACCACTGAGAACAACCTGGCTCCATCCTCTTTGGCACCCCCCTTCAGGTAGAAACTTTCGTAGAACACTAGAACTGGAAGGGACCTCAAGCGATCATCCAGTCCAGTCCCCTGCCCTCATGGCTGGGCCAAGCCCTCTCTAGACCATCCCTGATAGATGTCTGTCCAACTTGCTCTTAAATATCTCCAGAGATGGGGATTCCACAACCTCCCTAGGCAATTTATTCCAGTGTTTGACCACCCTGACACTTAGGAAGTTTTTCCAACCCAAACCTCCCTTGCTGCAATTTGAAGATTGCTGTCAAATCCCCCCTCCCTCTTCTCTTCTGCAGACCAAATAAGCCCAGTTCCCTCAGCCTCTCCTCATAAGTCACGTGCCCCAGCCTCCTCATAATTTTCCTTGCCCTCTGCTGGACTCTCTCCAATTTGCCCACCATGTGATGAGTCATTGTACAAGTTGGTCACCGCGTTAGACAGCACTTCCTTTTCCAGGGAAAGGAACCTATTCCAGGGCACTGCAAGGACAAGGCCTTTTTCGGTAGCCATATTATAAGGCTTGTAGCCATATTAGAAGGCCTAAAGCCTATAGCCTTTGTCCGCAGCCAGACTGAAAGAGCCGCAGCTATTAGCGGAGAAGCAGGACGTCACATCTTCATATTCCATCTAAATTACATTAAAATAGTTCAGTGTCAGGCTGTTCAGAAGGAGACCCTGTCCTAACGCCTCTCCCAGCCCCCATCACCAGATAAAGAAACAGATCTCAAGAAGGTTAAAGAAAACTTAGTCTGACAGCATTTTGTATGGTAAGAAACTCCTTATCAATAGTTGGGGTTGTGAGATTCCCACTCCTTGACTGTTCTACTGTTAGGGTATGTTTAGACTATATGGCTCTGTCGCCAGAGCCATGTCGATTAGTTTACTAGACATACCCAAATGAAGCGGCGATTTAAATAATAGCCAGTTCATTTCAATTAAAATGGCTGCCGCGCTGTGCCGATCAGCTGTTTGGCGGCTCAGCGCGCTAGTCTGGATGCTCCACGGTTGACATCAAAGGAATTTGTCGACCGCCCCGTTATGCCTCGGGCAATTTAAATAATCGCTGCTTCATTTAAATTTAAATGGCTGCCGCGCTGAGCCGATCAGCTGTTTGTCAGCTCAGTGCAGTAGTCTGGACGTTCCGCGGTCGACAAAGGCATTTGTCAACCTCCCAAGTATGCCTCATCCCAGGAGGCATACCTGGGAGGTCGACAAATGCCTTTGATGTTGACCATGGAGCGTCCAGACTAGCGCGCTGAGCCGACAAACAGCTGATCGGCTCAGCACGGCAGCCATTTTAATTTAAACGAAGCGGCGATTATTTAAATCGCCGCTTCATTTGGGTATGTCTAATAAACTAATCGACATGGCTCTGGCGACAGAGCCATGTAGTCTAGACATACTCTCATAGTCCCCACTTCACTACTATTTGGCTGTATGATCTCTGTCTGGTTTTTAATTGCTTCTGTCTGCTGTATAATTAATTTTGCCAGGTGTAAATCAATGAAGATGGTGGGGTATGTTTGGTTAGGGAATTATATTACAGTATGGTAGGACGGGTGCGTAAAACGTTAGTAAAATAATCGGTGAAGGTAGAGCTAAGCAGGACTCAAACATCACTGTATAATCCAGGGGCCAAAAGGAAGCTATTTGGGAACCAACTCCAGGACACAGCTCCAAGCTCAGAGCTGCCAGGCCTCAACCCTGTGTCCATCACCCTGCAGATTCCCTTGATGGACCTGATCCTGGCTGGCTATCAAGAAAAGTTCATCAGTTTGACAGGGCGTGGTGAGCATTGTCTGCTTAGCGTGGACAGTCTACTTTTGGTGATTGTTACTAAATAGAGGTTAAGCAGGATATTACTGGGAAAGGCTCTTTTACTGGTAAAAGACCCCACAAACCCACCGTGTGAGAAGGTTATGCCTGAGCCAGCAGAAGGGTGAGGGTGGGTGCCTATAATGAGAGCCCTAGAAACGGGTAAGGGCGGGTGCCTCTG